AACGCCTCTGCTGAGGCACAGGGCTGCTACAAAGCTTCTGTGTCTGAGTTATTGAATGGGTAATTCCAAACCACGTCCTTTTCAACTGAGTCTCCGTTCCATATCTGAGAGCTCACCGGATGGATTGCTTTGTACTACCTTGTGGGCACATCCGGCAATTTCGCCCATCTGGAATTTTTCGAATTAAAGCTGGGCTTGTAAACCCACTCCAGGCATCTGAATGCTTCGGTCACTTAGTCTTTCTTGGAAAGGAATTCCCCAGCCTTTTTTGAACGATGTCTTATTCAAACTCCCCAGCTGCGCTTAGCTCCGTTTCTCCGGGATGACAGAGGACAGTAGGAGCGCAGTGTGCTGTGATGTCACTGGCATAGCCAAGTTCAATGTTCAGTAGCAAGCGGCATGCGACTGTCGGAGGTCTGCACAGCTTTTCAGACGCTTACCTGTGTGGGTGCGTCAATCCTGGTCACTTAATGACTCCCTCGGTGGTACGTCGACCTTTGAAACACATGATGCGTTTTTACTCAGGTCGATGTAAACAGTACTGGATTTGTACCTCCCAGAAGCAGACCCCTTTGTACACAAATTTGGTTTTCACGGAAGGCTTGACTGAGTCTACCTGATGAATCCATGAAGAGCGAAAACTGTATGAACCATTGGAGAGTTTTGACTAACCCTTTGAGAAGTACGTTCCTTCAAGATCTTCATTTACATTGACTGTTTTCGTTACTAGCGAGATTTCTTCTTAGACGTAACAAAAATAGCAGCTCATGTGCTTTTTGAGCACTACGCAGGGAATGACGGCTGTCTTTATGCCATTACAACTAAATGCGGCCCACGACATTAGTCAGATAGCCACCGCACCCTGCAGATCGCGTACCATTCTTCTGCAAGAAGGGTGCCACAGTCAGTGTCTAGCTTAACTCCATGGATTAAGACACCCCTAATCCTCTAGCACCTTATGCATGGCACACATCGCACATCTGACTGGGTTTGATTGACTCTATGTCCACTAGAGTCATAGGTTTAATTTACGGGCTTAAATTCAGACCGGACTAAATTTTCTCGTGCAGTCAGTTCAGAGGTATTTTCTAGAACTGAAAATTCGAGATATTTTTTAAAACCCTTGGAACACACCAAAATTCGCGGGCTCAAGCCCAGGGACGCGTGCATGAGTAACTTATGCGTTTGTTTCTATTTGTTTTTCATTATGCCGGCTGCCTCGGAACACACTTTTGTGTCTTTAGAGGGAGACACCAAAATTCGCGGGCTCAAGCCCAGGGACGCGTGCATGAGTAACTTATGCGTTTGTTTCTATTTGTTTTTCATTATGCCGGGCTGCCTCGGAACACACTTTTGTGTCTTTAGAGGGAGCGAACATCCGGCCTACAGCTTACCCGCATCTTTCAGCCGAATAGCTGTTCTCCCTTAACCAATTATCCCCTTTTCAAGCCTTTATCACTTAGTTTGGGCTATTCACACGCTACTGAAAAGCTGTGCAAAATCAGAGTAGTGCGCTTGACAACCTGGAAGCCTAGAACAGAATTGAGATGCTGCAGTGCAACTAAGATGCACACTTTTCAACTGTTTGCTCTATGGTTACTGCAGGTTTCCACCCACCCTCCTGGACAGTTTATTCTATAAGTTTAATTCATGATCAGTCGTGTCATCAGGGTCCTCATCTTTTGCTAACTTGACTGCTTCCAGTCTCTGGGTCGGTTTCTACTTCAAGCACCATCGTCTGTCTGTTCATACGAAGTTTCCGAAAGATCTATACATCTTATTCGTTTCTGCTGTCCGTTCGACCGAACTACTAAGTGAACCTACATTGAAATCGCTCATTCTCTCTGACCTTAGCTGTCTTATATCAGTTGCTAGTGCGTTTTGGCATCAATAGGCAATTCAGTTGTAAATTCTTGCTTTTACTTGCTAGTGCGTTTTGGCATCAATAGGCAACCCCATACTTTCGACTTGTTCATCGTTGAGATACATCGATTCTGTTGTATTACCTGATTCGGACATCTGCGCTGCAAACTGGCACTGTTGGAATTATGCGTGGTGAAGAGGCTAATGCATGGATTTTGTTGTGCTCTAGTCATACAGATTTCAACTTGTCGTTGCAGAGACGACTGGTATGTATGCATACGCAATTGAGGCTTGTGGCTTTGTTGTAGCGTCTTTTTCAATTTCACCTAGTTTTTTTCGCAGCTTACTTTTAGCTCTGCTCCTAAACTGAATTCTTACTGGTGCGTTCCATATCATTTGTAAGTTGAAACACCTAAAACTTATCTGGAGGTTCAGCGAAGGTCAAACGTTCCATGTTACCAGTAATACGTTACTTACACAAAAACTCCTCATTCTTCATCCACATTCATGTTTTTTTCTGCTCTCTGTCCCGCTTTTTGTCATAAAGACTAGTACCCATACATCCACCTTTTTTATCGTTCCGTCTGATAAACGCAAGCAAAACCACCTCTATAAGACGAATAGAAGCACCTAGAACAGGCTAGAAGATTTTCGACTCAGTCAAGTAATTATTCGAAAAAGTACTGATACCCGGGTGAATGGAAGATGTCCGTAGCCG